TGCACACACACACACACACACACATATATATATATATGTATAAGTATATATATATATATATATATATGTATATATATATATATATATATAGAAGTATATAGATACGCTCACATCTTATTAATGTATGGATAATCGCACTTGCTCTAGTGGCCATAGCAGGAGACGCATAGAATATGTTCACGATATCCATGGAATTCCTATAGATATACAATTAGCACTATGCTGCAATTGGGATATCTATTCAAGCCAGTTAACAGTCAGATATCATCACAAATCACGACGAAGTCTCTCTGCTCTGCTGTCCATAAATTGCCAGCTGCGGTTCTTATTACTTTCCCTATGTCTGCACTTGCTCCCAACAGACGTATGCCTTTCCGGACACGACTGATGTTGCGACCAAAGAGTGGCATATCACATCAGAATCAGCCAATCTCATAGCATTTGCACTGGCAAACACAGGCCGGGTGCAGGATGCGACAGAGCTGTTTGGGTTGGGGTCGAGGATGAAGAATTCATCGCGCAAGGGCTTCCAGATTACGGATTCGGATCCCACGCCGGAAACGATGTCTGTACTGTTGAAGGCCTTGGGTGATGCTGGCGACTGGCAAATGGCCGAAAAGGTACTTGCTTTCCTTTTGATATGTCTCCGCGTGTATATTGGTTCTATGCATACATGTATGAACGTTTGATTGATTAGGAGTTGGGTTTGTGTATGAAGAATACATCGCGCAATTGGTTCCTGAATATTGATTCGCAGCGACAGTGTCTGTGCTGTTGGAGACCTTAGGTGATGCGTGCGATTGGCTATTGCCCAGAAGGTCCTTCATTTACGTTTGATATGCATTCGTGCATATATTAGTTGTGTATATACATGTTTTCATGGTTGGTTGGGTTGATTTTGAAGAATTCTGATGCATCGAAGTTGTGTAGCTTATGTTCACGTACATGCTGGGCTCGCATTCACATGCAGGCGGTGGCCAAAGGTAACAACCATTTGTTCCGGATGTATCAGATAATGTAAGGTTTTATAGCTGAAGGTTGCCTGTATAACGTGTTGGCTGTTCATCTATGCTATCGCTAATGTGCCCGTAGGGATCCAGCATGCACAGTTTAATACTTTACACCCAAGGCTTGTAAATAAAGAGTCTAAAGTTTTTCCCCCGACTCTTGCACAAGGAGTTCCACAATTGAGCTACACCATTGTTCACTATCCCACTACCTACATTATCAGATAGACAACAGTACACTTTGGGCTTCTGGATCTTCAAAGAGACTCTGTCTCCCCATTCATATTATTTGTATTCTCGCAAACACATAGCCCCCCCCCCCTTCGATCCCCATTCATCGTTGCCTAACCTTGATTACCTTACTCTGTACTTACAGATCTTCAATGAGTCTTTATTCTACGGTGCGCCTGTGGGGACCCCTCTCTATAATGCGATGTTGAATGTGTACGGAAATACTGGACAGATACAGTCTATGCTAGCCATGATCAAAGAAATGAATCTCCAGAGCAATTTGTCCCGCTCATTGACTGCGTCAGAAGTGGATAAAACCGTGTCGGTCATACCTAACGGGGAATCGGCTGCTGCGATTTTCATGGTGAGTTTTGTATTTATTGTGACGGAG